CCATCCCCCCATCCCACCCTACCTCTGTGGCAGGGTATTCCCTTTTGTTATCTCTCTCCTTTTGACATACCTCTATTTTTAAATTGAAACTAATGATGAAAATTCAACCTTTAATTTTCTTCTCATAATCTTTTCTGTCAATTTAAACCATTTTATAAAACACCACCAATTGGCCCTGCTAAAAGCCCTATTTTTCTTATTAATTTTCTCTACAGCTTATTTTTCTTATTAATTTTCTCTACCTAGAGCTTATTGTTTTGCTATAGACCTCTATAAGAGCTGCATAATGGCCCAGCACTGCCAGGTGTGGCTCTGGGCACCCCAAGAATTGCCAAATGGCCTGAGTATCCTGGCTCTACAGGGCCGGAGTAGCATCCCATCTTCTAGTTCTTGTGCTGAAACATCTTGGTTGACTGAGATTAACAGAGGGGGTTCCTAGGCCTCATGGGAACTGCTTGAAGTCTCTCTACCTCCATACACATAAGAAAAAAATTGGAGAACCCTATAATGGTAGTGTAGCAGGTTGATTCAATGTGGTCAAGATATTATTGAGGAAAAATTGTTTTGGGAAATGGCATTCTTTTTTCAGGGTGTCAAGAGCCCATTACAGTCTTTTGTTTTATTTATTTATTTTGGGCTATACCTGGCAGTGCTTACTCCTGGGTTTACTTAGGGATCACTACTGGCCTTGCTCGGGGGACCATATGTGATTATAAGGATCAAACCTGGGTCAGCCTTGACCATATGCAAGGCAAGCATTCTAAGTCTTTTGTTGGGGAAATGGGAAAAAAATTAATAAATAAAAATGGTGAGTGACAGGCCCAGAGACTGAGTTCTAGGAAGGCGCTCACAGATCTCTTTCCAGCTAAAGAAACCCAGTGACTCTGCTTTTTGGTCTGCTGGGTTTCCATAGTTCCCATGCTCAGTTTCAAAGTTTCTGACCATCACTCCACATTCTAATCTTGAGCTCAGTTTTACTGTGTTCAGATTTCTAGTACTGAGGTATATCAAGCTTCAGTTATCTGAGAATAATTTACTGTGTAAGAGCTGGACTTAAGACTTCTGCAGTTGAGACATAAGTGTGAAGGGAAGAACCAAGGAAAGTGTAAAGCTGGAACATCCTCTAGAACAGCTTTTCTCAGTTAAGGACCATATGACTTATGTGGGCTCCCAGGGGCCACAGTAAAAATCACGTAAATGGGTGAGTCACGGTATGAGACTGAGAAGCCAGTGGTAGGACTCAGAGTGAGGGCACAGGAAGGAAACAAGGTCAGAAGGGGCCACAGTCAAAACATGGTTGAGAAACACTAATCTGGAACATGATTTTTCACCTGTACCTCATGGAGAGCACATATATTGTCTCAAAATCATTGACAAAACCTTGTGTTGATTAAAGCATTTTAATGCCACTCAGAAGATTTAATGCCACTCAGCTATTATAGAGTTTTAATTTGCTCCAAAATTCTGAATTCAATAGGTAATTGCTTTAAAGGTAGGTAAGTAGCTCAAATAACTAGTACCTAGTCAGTATCAAGATGAAGTTTTCCGCGAACTACTCCAAAGATTCTAAGACACACACTTAAAAAGCATACACAAAAAACTAAAACACTAATATTCACCTGTGCTATCATGAAGTCTCATAATCTGAAGCCCTGTAGACCAATGATTTTAAACCTTTGACACTTGCAAGCTAGCTCTGGTCTGTGGAGTGGTGGTTGGAAGACACAGCTAAAGATTGTGTGCTGTTAAGAATGAAAACTCAGTTCACACATTGACGTTAGCTTGGTATAGTTTCTCCTAACAAACTTATTGGTAATGTATACAAAGTCAATCATTTTTTTTCTACCAACCCCTGAAGTCAAATTCTAGAATATCACTACAACTCTATTAGTAGTTAATATATCAGTTGTGTAAGCCTTTACGTTTCTGGATTGTCCAGAGGGATTAGGGGATGTGGTGTTTTTGTTTAATGGCTACCAAGATTTAGTTCAATGAGGAAAGTTCTGGAGCTGGATGATGGAAATGGATAGTGGGTATATTCTCTTAGGTGGTTATCACCCAGGGGTGACCACAAAAGAGGCACAGAAAGGCTCAAGAAGATACCAGTTGTCTTTCTCTTGATTTCTAGAATCAGGATATATTACATGACTCATAGGACCACTAATAGGACCACTGGAAAGTGATAGTAGGGGGCAGAAGAATAATCAATCAAAGACAGAGCCTGAGCCATAGACTATTGGAGTTGTGAGGTCAAGTAGGCATGCCAGACAGTTTAGGACTCACTATTTTTGAATCATTTTAAGATGACTCCAAGATACAGGGCTAATTCATAGTTGCCTGGTCCTGCTCCCTGCAATGATTAAAGCAGAGGAATACTGCCTCTTGGAATATAGAGAGAGGAGCAAGTAATCACAATTTGTTAGTACATCACAATCTTGTGTCTGGGTGAACACTTGACTATTTCAAAGATGGGAAAGTTTTATTTTTTTTTGAATCTCAGAACATCACAATCTAGAGAAAACAAAAATAATAAAAATGCAGGTGCACAACAATGAGAATGTACTTAATTCCACTGAATTATACATCGAGAAATCATTAAAAGGGTGAATTTTATGTTAGCAATGATTTCTACAGTAAAAGTTTAAGCTTCAGATCAATAGTGGTGAGTTCTAAGCAAAAGACAAAAATCAGAAAAAGAAATGTAAAGTAGAAGATAAAACTTATGAGAACATCATGGGTCACTGAAATATGGTTTTTTTTCCCCAAGTGTTAAAAAAAAAAGATCTTTTACAAAATGTTGGCCACATCCTAAGAGGTATTTCTAAAGGTCATTTAGCCAAGTCAATGGAAAGGAAAGGAAACTTAGTACAGGATTGCTTCATCCTCTCAAACCAATTTTCACTTCTGCTTGCTCTCTCACACTCTTAGGGTACTGTGAATTATGGAGTGGATTATTCTTCCCTGGAAATCTGACTCATCATATGTGAAGACCTCTGTTAGAATACTGAGGCCTTGTTGCACTGCCCATTTTACCTAGCTAGTCTGGGGCTATTATATTTTTGGTTAAAGTGGATAATAAACTCAGTTACAGAAAATATAAAATTTTCTATAATAGAATGCTTGTGTGTGGGGCGAGAGGGGGCTGAAACTACTATATTTACATACATCAGATTTATCTCCATTGTTATCCTGACTTTACAAAGTCTGAAATTACTGAGGATTCTTCATCCCAAATGGTTGCACTGTCAAGAAAAATTTTACTTCATTGCATTCCCCACCCCATCCCAACTTTCTCCCTTTCTATAATTGAGGAAATCCACCAGCAATCCTTCTTTGTCCTTAACTGTTAAGTATCTTCTCCATTCTCTTTGCCAAGATTCCCTGGCATAAACATCACCAGTTGCCAAACCTTCCTGCTATTGTCTTAACATAAGCAACTGAAGATGACTACTCTTCTCCCTCTTTCAATTTTCTTTGTGTTTCCAGTTGCCAGATGCCTGCAAACTAAGTACCCAGAGAAGGAAAATAAGCCATTCCTTCTTCTAGGGAAGGAAGCAGAGAGAAGCAATAGCTCCCTAATTCACAGGCCACCAGTGATTTAAAAAAAAAGTCCCCAGAGTATTATAAAAAACTGACTTCAAACTACAGAGTTTGATTTACACTATTTTCCTATTTTTTTTTTTAAAGCTCAGTGGAAGTAGTTTGATCTTAATCAAGTACAAGCATGAACTTATGATGCCATTTCTTACAATCTGACCAAAACATTGCTCCCTGAAATCTAAATCTCTAAATCCTAAAATCTAAGAAATCATCTGAAATAGGCATAGCACTTGAAAACATAGGCCAGAATGTGAAGATGCATAAGCTTTCAATGTTTAGGACATTATTCTAAGTATCTTTGCCTAATATAAGTGACCTGTACTGAGCAAATGTCCTCAACACTACATGAGTATCAAGGGAGGTAAAATCTGTGTCCAGGCTCAGTCACTTACCCCCTTCTGGAACCTGAGAAAGTTACATAATTTCCCTAAACCTTGGAAAAATGGAAAAAACATCAGCAAACACAGTGGAGGCACTTTCCCAGAGATCACTGTTCTTCCAAGCTTACAAATCTTTGTCTTCCCATCAACCCTTTGAAGTAGACAGGTCTTATTATCACCATCACCCACTGGGACTGGAGGGGTTACACCACACCTGACTCTGCTCAGGGCTTATGTCTGGCGTACTTCGCAGATACTCCTGGAAGTGTTCAGGGGACCATGTAATGCCAGAAATTGAACCAGGGTCACCTGAATGTAAAGTAAAAGGCATTATCTTCTGTACTATCTCTCCACTCTTATCACCTGTTTTGAAGATGTAAAAACTGAAACTTAAATTACTTTATTAGGTCCCTAAATTATATCCAGAGCCAGGATTAAGATTAAACCTAGGCAGTCCAATGGCCAGAATCCATATTTTCACTAATAGTACTGTGGTATACCCTCTGAACTGTGACAGTTAAACCAGATTAATTATGTGGAAGTAAATAGTTAGGGTATTAACTTCTGGAATTTACTTTCTCATTTTCCAAAAAGGAATACTTATGTCTCAGATGTTTGTTAAGAAGGCCTAGGAATAAAGTGGATTTAGTATCAGGTACCATTCAAATGACATGTGTAAGGTTATTGATAAATGGGACCCCATAATGCCATCTCTTTGTACTGATATTGTTAAAGTAATTCTGTTCTAAGTGACAAGGCAAATTTATTCATATCCATTCATTTCCAATAATAAGCCCAGGATATTGTTCTTAGTGGTTTATGATAATCCTAATCCACAGAAAACTGGCTTTCCTCCATTATGCTGTGGCTTACATACAAGAGTGAGATTTTGCTCCCTGCCTTTCATATCATTACTCAACACAAACATATTTTACTTTTTAAATTTCAATAGCACATAATCTAAACATGTCTTCTGCTACAATATTAAATTTACATTATTCCCCCTTTTGCTTCTTACAGGTATTTGTATATATGGATAAATTCAAACCTAGCGATGACCAGTGGGACCTTCTCAGTCTTCGATTTTTATCACTCAATTCAATAATTGACCCTTGGGTCTTTGCAATCCTTAGACCTCCTGTGCTGAGACTAATACGGTCAGTCCTCTGTTGTCGGGTTTCATTAAGAACACAAGATGCAACAGAAACTTCCTCTTCGACACAGTCAAATGCCAGTAAATTGACTGACTTCTGTGGACAGTAGTTAAGAAGTGCTGAGTTACCTTGCATCTGGAAGATATTTTTGAATGACTTCTTGAAAAAATGATAAAAAGCTTATGAACAAAATGAACCTACCCTAATGAATCAGAATCTACAACATTTCAACCATGATTTGTGCTATAGATGAGCTGATAAGGAACTTGGAAGGTGCCCAAAGGGCTGACAAGTTACCTGGCCTTAGATCCAGTTGCCTTTTGATTTAAGATTTCCTGTTGAATGAGAAAGCATGTGGTTTTATAGTTTGTTTAAAAGTCCTAGTTACCATGTTTTTCATTTTCATCTGTTACTATTATAAACAGAGTACACTCAGACTAGACAAAATTTCATCTATTTTCTCTAGGAAGTCTCTATATGGGCACAACAAGCTTAATGTCTTTCTTGTGAGTGTTAACAAGTCCATTCTTGAGGCAATGAGGTTGGAAATCTGAAGAGGCACTATGTATTATAAAAAGGTAAAGGCCCTCCCGTTGTTCATCGATTTGCTTGAGCAGGCCCAGTAACGTCTCCATTGGAGACTTTGTTGTTACTGTGTCTGGCATATCAAATACGTCACGGGGAGCTTGCCAGGCTCTGCCGTGCGGGCGAGATACTCTCGGTAGCTTGCCGGGCTCTCCGAGAGGGGCGGAGGAATTGAACTCGGGTCAGCCATGTTGACTGCGTGCAAGGCAAATACCCTACCACTGTGCTATCGCTCCAGCCCTCTGTGCTATCGCTCCAGCCATACCACCCTGAACGCGCCCGATCTCAATGTATTGTAATGTTTCCATATGTGGAAGTCCCCTCATCACCACAGTATTATTCTTCACAGCATGGATCCAGCTTTTCATTAGTCCTCCAGAAACGACATGTCAAAGTGTCAGGTTATTTATTTTATAATATCTGTTGTGTACATAATAGTCAAGACGATTCTAGAAATTTTCCTCTCAATAAGAAATAACAGAAATGTTGTTCAGAAAGTTAATTTTAATAATTCTCTTTTTTCCCCAGGGAAGAATATATGTAGCTAAATCTAAGCCAAGTTTTAGTATTAAAAAAACTGAAAAATCTGGTCACTTCTTCAGATACACTGGAAATTCTTTAATGCTGATGCCAAGAGCATGACTAACATATGCTTAGGAAGAAGACTGTTGCAGCAAAATTCCTTTGTCTATATTTTGATCTGTGATTTGACTCATATAGGAAATCATGTTACAGTTAGTCATATCTTATTGTATTTCTAAATGTAAATATCTAGCATGCTATAAATGTGCATCAAAATAGTCCAGTGAATTTTCACTGTTAAAATTATAATTTAGTTTCTGTGTGAACTATTCTATAATGCTGCAAAAATAAACTATAAACCAAAAATTTAAGAATGGAATAGTATTTGTTGAAATTCTCAATGACATTTTACAATGTAAAATATACCTTTCCCCTCACTCCTTTGGGAGTACTAGGTATCAAATTCTGGTCCCATTATGAAACCTTTTAATGAGTGAAAAGATTTTTTTAAAGTATTTTCTTTGGAAGATCTTGAAAGTATGGTTGAATTATAAATGAAAATTTAAAAAACTATGTAACTTGGTAATAGACGATTTTTTTCTCTTTAATTTTTACCCTTATAATATGATCTCTGTGCTATAAGTAGAACTATTTTTTTCTGCAGTGAGTGTTATTCTAAGTTAGTTGTTATTTAAAAAAGAAACCTTACAGGAATGGAGTTTTGCTGCCCCAAAGTCTCAGCAAGTTGCTTACGCAAAAGCACTTCCTACATGTAACTTTCAAATTAGATGATCACTTAGAGTAATGCCAAACTGATGGAAACAGTATATTTTGACACAGCAAAATATATTATATCAGCTGTTATTTTACAAAGAATAAATAAATGGTTTGCTTTTCTACTAATTTAACCAAGCCAGGCAAAATTTAACTTGTTTAAATCTAACTTGTAAATAAATATTCTTTGTCCATCATGTTTTATAAAGTTCTAAATTGGAGTAATTAGACCCATGGGTAATTCCTAAACATACAATTGTGAAGTTACTTGGAAGCTGAAAAACTGATTTCTGGTGTCAGATGACTTTTTTTTTCCAAATAAAAATGTTAACTATAACTCTTTATCTTACCTTACTAACCTCCCAAATTCAAAAATCATACCTGAGAACTAAAAAAAAAAAAGAAATAATTGGAGGCTAAAGAGAGAGTACAGCGGGTAGGGCACTGCCTTGTGCACAGCACATCTGGGTTCCATCATTGGCACTAGATATGGTCCCTCAAGCCCTGCCAGGAATGATCCCTGAGTGCAGAGCCAAGAATAAACCCTAAGCACTGCTAGGTGAAGCTACCAAATAAAAAAAAACTAGATTTCTAATATTTTACTTCTTCATGTAGTTATATTTCTTGTACTGTATTAAATAACTAAATTCTATTATTTCACTTAGAGCAATATATAGAAAGACTTAAAAGTGAAAATCCAATGAAATTGTCAGCTTCCAACTATCAATAGCAATCATAAGGATGCTTAGAAAAATTTTCTTAGATTAGATACGAAAGCATTTCTGAAAATCCCATCAACCAGGCATACCTAAGTTTAGTGAACTCATTTTCAAGTTAAATGTAAGTAAGAAACACAGGATTTAGCCTGTTATTATAGGGAACTAAATTGTGATTAAAGAACTGCGTTTTGGGGGCCAGAGCGATAGCACAGCAGGTAGGGTGTTTGCCTTGCACGCGGCCAACCCGGGTTCAATTCCCAGCATCCCATATGGTCCCCTGAGCACTGCCAGGAGTAATTCCTGAGTGCAAAGCCAGGAGTAACCCCTGAGCATTGTTGGGTGTTACCCAAAAAAGGAAAAAAAAAAAGAACTGCATTTTATTCTTGACTCTAGCCACTCATGGCATGAAAAATTAAAGGAAAACTTCATTCAGCTCTGCAAGGGGTCCACGAAATGGTCTCAAGCCAAGCCATCCTTCTGAGCTGAATTGTTTCCTAGACGATTCATTGTTGTTGCATGTCATCAGAGATTTTCCAGGAGAGAATTTGTAAATTTAGGTACTACATTTTGGTCTTGAATATCCAAAAGTCTGATATGAATGTGGAATAAATAGTACAGCTGGCAGGGTACTTGCCTTGCACACAGCCAAGCCAGGTTTGATCCTCAGCATCCCATATGGTCCATGAGCCCACCACAAATGATCCCTGAGTGCAGAGCTAGGAGTAAGACCTGAGCACTGTTGAGTGTGGCCCCAAAACAAGCACACACTCTCTTTCTCACTCACAACACACACACAAACATATACACACACACACACACACACATACAAACACACACATACCTGATAGGGACCTGAAATGGTTTAGAAGCTATTGAAAACCTCCAAAAGACTTGGATCCTAATGTATATTGGACCTAAAAAGACCTAGAGTTAGACCCAAGAAAGCTCCAGAAAGCACTGACACTCTTACTCCCTCCCCAACTGCCATGCTGCAGAGTGGGCAAGCCCTGAGCAGTGGGGAGAGTAAATCTAATCCACATTTCTATGTTGATTCACATTACTATGTTCTCAGTGTAGTTCATTTAAACTTTTGGTGTCCCTCCCTGCCTACTCACAGGTACATCTTTGTACTTTGGAAAAGGATTGTCCTAATTATGCAACATCAGCTCTTATCTGAACCAAGAAAAAAACAACATATTCAGGTTTAGAAATTGAGTTCTTTGAAAACCAGAAAAACAATTGGCTTATCTTTAACTGGAGTTTTATTTATTTCACACAGTCAAAATGAATGATTTTCTGCATTTGACAAGTAACTCCACCTTTGCCTTTCATATACATTATCCCATGCAAATGAGTAATTTTTTATCATGATATCCATGCCCATTATTGCAGGTACTGTTACAACTTGAATATTTGATAACATTTTATGCTTTCACCTAGTTTCCCTGGACTTTCTCCCTGAGTATATGACGATACTTCCAAACACCAAACATTTAACATTATTATGACTTTTTAAAAATTTACAATACATTTTATCACCTGAGCTACAAATGTATTTCCATTATGGAAATAGAATATAATGTTAACAATTCACAAAAATCACAATATAATTTATATGTGAGTCCAAAGTCATGCTTAGGCATTAACTTTTATTTCAGAAAGTTGCCCTTTATTTCTGATAGCCTTTTATGATTTATTTTATTACATATAAATGTTCTTGATTAAATGTTTTAATTTTCTATAAAATATATGTAATAATAAAGGTCAGTTTTATTTGGATGTTGTAATTCTATGATTTACATGCATGATTGGGAGTGGCGGACTTGGGCCCCATCCAGCAGTGTTCAGGGCTTACTCCTGTCTCTGCATTCAGGTTTCACTCCTGGCAGGGTTCAGGGGACCATATGGGGTGCTATACATTGAACTGAGTTTAGCCATGTGAAAGGCCATAACCCTGTACTATCTTCTCATCCTCATGTGTTTTATTTTTGTTTATGGGCCACACCCTGTTATGCCCAGTCAGAACTTATTACTGTCTCAGTGCTCAAGAATCACTCCTAGTGGTGCTCAGGGAAACATACAATTCTGGCCTTGAATTTGATCTCAAAAATCTAACAATAGTCAAATCAGAGAGGATTCCAGAAGAATGGCCTATTGAAAAGAGTGACGGTTGATGAATGAAATGAATAGTAACTGAGGGGATCAACAGAGATATTGAAGTATCCCTTGGAAGCTATTATTCCTCTTTTCCTAAAGGACAAGAAGGAGCAGATATCAGAAACTAGTGAGAGCTTCAGGAGCTGTCATACAGTAGGGCTGTGGCCATAAGACAGAAACAGTTATAGAGGACAGAGAGATAGTACGTGAGGTAGGATTCTTGGCTTCCATGGCATTGACCTAGGTTCTATCCCAGCACCACATATGGTCCCCCAACCACTGCCTCTTTCCTACCTATTCTACCACTTTTCTATATCCCACTGGTCAAAACTGACAGTAGGATGAGAGCAAT